GAGACGCGCAAACCCACGACCCCACTGGCACATCTACACATATATCTACACGCGATAGGCCATCGCCGGCCGATTCCACGTCATCAGTAACCTGGTTTTGCCATCAAAGGAGGAGGGGACAGGTGGTGACGAGCTGATTGGGCTGGTTGACTCTTCGGCGCGAGAATTTTCAAACCAAGAACCCAAGTGCAACGAGGGAGAAAGCGAGGAACCGACTGGGGAGGACAGCAACGAGAGCGTGTACGAAGCGGAGCGGGTCGAGTTTGGTCGTGCTAGGACTGGCCACAGCGGCACCGGAGCAGCGGCACCGGAGCAGCGGCACCGGAGCATGCGGACGGCATCGAACCGTCGTGGCGCACGGACAAACGTCTCTTGTGTTGTCAATTATTTCCCGTTTTGTCCTGAAAATAGGCGTTGGGTGTTGTTGTTGTTGTTTCTCACATTAGTTGTTGATGTTAGCTCTATAGTCCACAAAAAATGGGGAGCCCGTGGTCTCAAAACCCGGCACATAAGACGCCGCGGGGAAACAAAACAAAAATAGGGTACAAAACTCGGGAAAAGAAAAAATAGACTAATGATAGAAAATAACAGGGATGTCGCACCGACCGTTCGAGAAAAAAGCCCTCGGAAACCGATCAAAATAAGAAGAGAAAAACAAAAGTACGCTTCCCACACCCGCCCAAAGAAAAAATCAAACGGTAACGTACCAGCACCAGGCACTACGCACCAGGGCATAGGAGTAACGGAGCAAACAGGACAAAGAGGCGGCAGATGGGCAGACAGCCAGACGTAAAAAAACAAAGGCAACAGCAAAAGCGAGATCAAGGTATCCAACACAGCAGAGTAGGCAGGGAGGACATGAAAAAAGGAAACACAGCACAGAGGCCGAAGGCAATACAACGGACATACATAAAGGAGTATAGCACAAAGCAGGGAGGGAAACAGGGCGCAACAACATCAGCCGGGTACATAGTTCGCCACAAGTGCTGCCTCGGCCGCCCTACTCGCTTCTACAGCAGTGCCCGGTCGCCGTTTCTTCCCCCCCACCGCCGCTTCGCCGACTTTCTTTCTCTTCGGTCCTGAGGTGGCCGTACTCTCTGCTTCTGCTTCCCTCGCGCGCTGGCGCTTCGCGGACGCTTCCGCCTCCTGCCTGTGCCATTTCCTCATGAACCATGCCGCCCCGTCCTCGACCTTGTTGTACCACACCTCCGAGTCCTTGGCGCTCTCTTTCCATTTCCCCCCTTCCTTTTCGTCTCCCATGTTGAAGGCCACGAGGTCCTCTCCTAGACGAGACACCCAGTCGCTCTCCTGCCCGCCCCGGTATCCCACGCCCCCCGCCATCGCTCCTAACAGCATGCGCTTGGGGAGGCGGTTGTCCTCCATGCGCATAACGAAGCCCGCGAAACACAGTCTCCGTTTGCGCACGGTGGCCTCGATGGTTTCCTCGCAGCCGGCCTGGATGAGGGCCTGGGCGTAGGACAGGGGTCGGTCTGAGCGCTTCCGCTTGCTCCAGCCGATACACCGTGTCAGGAACTGGCGGTGGGTCCCATTCAGCTTGGTGTAGTGCTCCGCTGCCAGGCTCCACGAGGCGCACCCGTATAGGAGGGTCTGCACCACTTCAGCCTGGAGTAGTCGGATCTTGAGCTGGCGGTTGGCCCGTTTCCTGTCGTACATCGAAGTGCTGTTCCGGCGGTAGCACTTCCATGCTCGGCAGATGCGGCTCGTGATCTCCCGGTCGACCTTCCCATCCGCGCAGATGGTACGTCCGAGGTACACAAACCGATCTGTCTGCTTGTACGTCTGGCCAGCGGCGCTGACCGCGAACGGGCGTTCCCCCAGCCCTTTCGGTAGCATGCACATGATCTCCGTCTTTGGCTCCGATACCATCAGTCCGAACAGGCCGGCCACGCGCACGATGATGGACATCATCTTTTCGAGGCTCTCCGGCGTGAGCGAGACGATGGCCGCGTCGTCAGCGTAGAGCATGTCCCACAGGGCCTCTGCGACCGTCACCATCATCGCCTTCTTCCCCGCCGACCTGCCCCTCTTGCCCGTGCACTCCACTCGTGTTGCGATCTTGATCATATCCGCCGTCACCTTGGGGTCCTTGTCGAACTCGGTCACTGCGACCATGCGCATCGCGGCAGAGAACAAGTTGAACAGCAGCGGGGCCAGGTTGCACCCCTGTCGGAGACCTTGGCCGACGTCAAACCATTCCGAGTACTGCCCGTCGTCCGTTCGAACCCGCGCCCTCATGCCCTCGTGGAAGTGGCGAATGACCGCCAGCATCTTCGGGGGCACGCCAAAGCGTTCGAGCACGTCCCACAGCAGATCTCGGTCCACCGAATCGTACGCCTTGGTGAGATCGACGAAGCACGCGAAGACCGCAGTACTCTTCTTCCTCGCGAGCTCATGGAGCCGCTGGATCGCGAACAGCATGTCGAGCGTCGACCGGTGTGGGCGGAAACCGCTCTGCTCCTCCGGGAGGATGCCCTCTCGCTCGCAGTAGTGGCTTAGGCGTGTTGCAACGACCTTAAGCAGCACCTTGCCGGCGTGTGCAACGAGAGAGATGCCCCGGTAGTTGCCGCACTCCATCGTGTCCCCCTTCTTGAACAGAACCTTGATGGTGGCGTCCTTCCACTGCTGCGGTACGTTCCCCGTCTGCCACACGTCCACGACGATGGCGTGGAATTCGCGGAGGAAGCCTCGGTCTCCATCCAGGAACAGCTTGATCAGCTCAGCCGGTAGGTCGTCCGGCCCGACGGCCTTCCTGTTGGCCATTCCCCGCACCGCCTCCTCAACCTCGAATAGAGACGGGATGTCGTCGAGCGGAACGCACGTGGGCCACTGCTTGACTCTGTCGGTCGCATGCAGGTCGATGGTCGGCGACTTGGTGTTAAGGAGCTTGTGGAACCACCGCGCCCACCGCTGGCGGGTAAGCGTGGGGTCCCGAAGGACCTTACCGTCCTCGTCCTTGATGTTCTGGGAGGTAAGTGGCCTCTTACCTTCGACGTCGATCATCTTCAGGTGCCTGTAGAAACCCGCCTGGTCCCCCTCACGGCTCTTCTTCTCGAGCTGCCTCACATAGCCCTCGAAGAACTTTTCCAGTGCTCTCCACCTCGCGCTGCTGCGTTTCTTCCGCGCCGCCTTGAGCTTCGCCTTCAGGGTCGTCTCTAAGTCGCTGTTCTTTGAGGCCCCGCGCAGCTGCTGTTGGGCCACTCTTATCTCCCTAGACGCTTCGGAAATCTCGTGCTGCGCTTCGCTCGTGTACCATCCTCCCTTCCCTCGTGCGCTCCTCGCCAGCGGCGCGATCTCCGCAGCGGCCGACATCACCACAGCGGTGAGCTCGGCGGCGGTCTCTCCCGTTGGCCTGCTGAGGGCCGTGGGCGGAGGGCGGTTGAGAGCCCTGTCTTGGAAGACGGCCCGTAGGTGCACATCCTTCCTCAACCGTTCGAGGTCGATACGGATCCGGCTGCTTCCGCTGTTTCCCCGCGTTCGTCGGTTGGGTGCGACACGGGGGGGGGAGCGGACAGTCGTATGCACCAGGTTGTGGTCAGAGTCCTTGAAATCGACACGTTTGACGGAGGCATTACGTACGAGACGCCGGTCCGTCTGTCGCATGAGGATGAAGTCGAGGCGGTGCTTCTCCTTCCCCTTGTTGGAGCTCTGGAACGTATGCTGCACTCCTCCTTTCGGTGTCCGGAAGTAGGTGTTGATCAGGGAGAGTCGGTTGTCTGCTGCCAGTCCGAGAAGTCGTTCCCCGTTGTTGTTCATAATGTCGCGTCCGTACGCGCCCATAATCTTGGCATCGCAGCATCCGTCTCGCCTCCTGCCAGTACGTGCGTTGGCGTCCATTAGTACCACGAGATGGTCACGGCTATGGACCTCCCGGATCTCTGCGTCGAGAGCAGTCCAGAAGGAGTCCTTGGCATTGACATCACCGCCCGCGGTGTTGCGGGCAGTTTCCGTAGGGGCGTACCCCACCACGAAAGTTACTCCGCAGGTGCGGCCAATTTGCAGGCGCACCTTCATCAGCCTCGGGCTAATGCACTCCACCGTCCTACCTCCCTCGCCTACGCTGTCCCACATGGTCTCCTTAATCGCTATGCCCACACCGTGCACGCCCCTCTTGTCCTTGGTGCCGGCACGGGCACCACTCCAGATGATCACGTACCCGTCGTGTGTAATCGCGCCTTGTCCCGCTCGTCGGGTCTCTTGGAGTCCTATCACATCACAGTCGGTCGCGGCACAGATCTGCATGACCGTCATCACGTTGTGGCCGATGGGGTTCCTGCCGCTGTAGGCGAGCGTGCGTACGTTGAACGTGCCGAACGATAAATCGCCCTCCCGTGCCTTCTTCTTCGCGGTCGCCTTCACGCCCGCTGCGATCTCCTGTCGCTCTCGGTCCGCCTCGCGCTGGGGGGGTGTTTTCTTCCGTTTAATCCGAGCGGCGAGTTTCTTCGCATCGATCCATCTTTGCAGGGCTCGGTGCTTGCCTGTGGTGTTTGGACGAGGAGGGTGCAGCACTTCCCCCCCGCGTCGCCCGCGGTTATCTCCCTTCTCCCGCGAACGGTGCTTACTCGCGTGGTTTTTACGAATCTCTCTGCTCCTCCAGCTTCGTGGGCCACGTTTTCCGCGACGGTGGTTACCAGGTGCAGTTTGCCGCTTTGCATTGCTGCCGCGGGGACAAGGTCCACATACACCTCTCGCCACTACCACCGTCTGTGCATCCTCACCGCCACGCTGAGCCAGCGCGGCGGTGAGTTGCACTTTGGGACACCACCCGCCTACTATCTGTTGTGGCCTGGTTCGCCCGCGAGGGACACACTAGGTCGATTTCGGCCCCGGCCGGGGAGTAGTGTGTGGGCGTGTAGTTCAGTTGTGAACACGCGAACGTGCTGCAGGGATTGTAGGTGTACCTCCTCGGGCTTACGTACCCTTTTCTTGCTAATAGTGTGTGTGTTCCTTTGAACTTCTGATGGCTCTAGCATTTTTGCGACCACGGACCGAGTCTTTGCTAGATTTTGGGATTGGCAACTGACACGAGTTTTAATGTGAAGAACAACAACAACAACAACAACAACAACAACAACAACAACAACCTTTTAAGGGTAAGATAGCCTTCGACCACGGGCATCGACCGCGTCGAGTGTTGGATCAGTACGGACATACGAAGGAACTGGGTAGAGAGAGATCGGAACAGTTATTAATGTGAAGACAACAACAACAACAACAACAACAACAACAAGGTGAGGGTAAAATATTTCGGGTTGAATACAGGAACGCCCGTTCACGGTCAGCGCCGCCGGCCAGACGCACAAGCAGACAGATCGGTTTGTGTACCTCGGACGTACCATCTCCGCGGACGGGAAGGCCGACGTGAGATCACAACCCGCAGCTGCCGAGCGTGGAAGTGCTACCGCCGGAACAGTGCTTCGATGTACGACAGGCGACGGGCCAACCGCCAGCTCAAGATCCGGCTACTCCAGGCTGAAGTGGTGGAGACTCTCCTATATGGGTGCGCCTCGTGGAGCCTAACAGCGGAGCACTACACGAAGCTCAATGGGACCCACCGCCAGTTCCTTACACGGTGCATCGGCTGGAGCAAGCGGAAACGCTCAGACCACCCCCTGTCCTATGCCCAGGCCCTCATCCAGGCAGGCTGCGAGGAAACCATCGAGGACACCGTGCCCAAGCGGAGACTTGTTTTGTTGTTCCTCACATTAGCTCTATAGACTAGTCTAGTCCACAAAAAACGTGAAGATTCTGTACGTATTTGAATCGGTGGTGTGTGGAGGCGTGTTGGAATTCGGAATAACGGGGCTCGAAGGAAAAAGACAAAGACGCTGCACGGGTGTCGGAACGTTTTTGTCCTCTCCCTGGGCGAGAGACAAGCTAGCGCGAACTTGAGAGAAGAGGACTGGCAGAGATAGCAGCTCTGAGGAGCAGCATAACACGAGGTGCGTCTAGGAGATGATCGATTTTCATCTCGGGCATCCAACAGCCCGCCCAGGGCGCCCCGGCACATGTCAATGCCCAAGGCGGCTCGGCCCACAACAATAACCAAACAGTCGTCCTCCCCCTGGGGCACGCGGCGCAACAGCAGCAGCCACAGGAGCAGCAGCCGCAGCAACAGCCCCAGCCTCAGCAGCAGCAGCAGCAGCAGCAGCAGCAGCAGCAGCAGCAGCAGGAACTGCTGCAACAACAGCAGTACCAGCATCAACAGCTCCACCCCTACACCCACCAGCAATACTTCCAGCCCTCGTCGGCCGCGCCCCAGGGATACCAACAACTCGCGGGCACCCTAGGGGCGGCACCCGTCTACAATGCCCACCGGTTCAAAGAGGCTCAAAAGCTGGAGGGTCGCACGTGGGAAAAAGATGGCCAAGCGGTCTTGTTCCTGCTGCGAGGTGCTACCTTCTCACCGGTGCTCATGACGGCGAGCGACGTCGACCTAATAATACGAGAGGTGGCCCATCCGCATCCGGGGTTGCACTCGCTGCTTACTCTCGGCTCCGTCGACATCGCGGCGTTTTCGCCGCCGCGGCCCGCGGGCGTCGCGGCGGTGACCCGCACGTTCGACGTGCATTTCTACGTTTTCGTCTCAGTCCCGAAACTCTTCATCGAGGACGGCATGCAGGGCGCCCCGCAAGCAGGACGCGACCGAGTTGGCCTGTTCTTCAGGGAACTCCAGCGGATGTCGGAGGACCTCCGCCGCTACATTTCGCGCCACTGTGCGGAATTGAAGGGCCGCAAGGCCGACGTCTTCGCTCGCTTTAGGCAAGACGCTAACTCGGACTGGGCCGACTTCATCAGCCGCGTGACCACCGAGGCCAGGTCGCTTCGGCAGAGCAACACTCTCGCCCCGCCGCCCCCCAACACGATGGGGGCCATCCAGGTACCGCAGTTTAAGAGGACACTATTCCTGATCTCGGAGGGTTCGGCCCACTCGATGGCGGGCCTCATGCAGGGGGCCCTAGCACGCCAGCAGCAGCAGCAGCAGCCGAAAGCGGCCACCACGAGCAACAAGCGCAAGGCCGCGTCACAGGGTCAACCCGCTCGCGCCCCCGCTGCCCCGACCCCGTCCGCCCAATCCGCGGCCGCCACCGCGTTCGCACAGACCGTCGCCGCCTGGCGAGTGCTTCTTCACGTGGTCGGGCACGAACTGCCTACGTCCGAAGTGCGAGAAAGGGCACACCCAGCGGCACCCGTCGCTCCTGTCCGCCGCTCCTGCCCCCCTACCCCCCGCCCCCCTACCCGCCGCCCCCCCGCCCCCGCATGCTCCGCCCGCTCGTGTGCCCCCTGCCCCGAAAGCGACACAAGCATCAGTCGCGAGGTACAGCCACGGAGGCGGAAATGGATGCGGCCGCGGAGGTGGAGGAGGAGGGGGCGCGGGAGGAGGCCGTGGCGGTACTCAACCGCGACGGTGCGGGCCCCACTTCCTTGAGGTAGGGCCAACAAGGGGGGTTAGCGAGCTTGGCGCAGGAGCGAACGCCTTTGCAGACAGCAGAAGGACAGTTGCGAGCGTGGGAGTTCCCCTTCCCGGGTCGGTGGCACCCGCTGTGTTTTACGGTGAGAGCAAGAGTTGCGATCCCGAAATATCCCAGGCTGTTCAATGGTCTGATTCATTTTCTGCATGCATAGTGGCGGACACCACTCACATTAAAAAATCACGAACAGACGCGACGGGGGCGGACACCCCCAGCGCAAAGTATGGGTCATGTAATACACAGCGGGTGACAGAAGAGAAACCGCAATTGACGGACACCGGTTTTGCGTCGTTTGACACACGCGGGGAGGACACCTGACGTGAAAAATTTCTTCTCACACGCCCACGAACAGTCGACGCCGGTCACCTGGAAAAAAATCACTAAAACCTATTGGCGGACACCAATAGCGGGACCAATTACTGCCTTAACTTGTACAACACGAAAACTGTGGCGGACACCACACGTGCTGAACAATGACGCGCAGTCACCTCGGGGGAGGACACCCCGGGTGAACATAATTGGCCTCGCGGTATGCCAGCGGTGGACGCCGTGAGTGTGGCCGGTAAACAAACAATGCTAGCGGACACAAGCAGTGGGCATGAGGACATACACAGGGAGGTTTAAAGGAATGCCCGCCCGACGGTGGCTTGCCTCCTAGATGTAGTAGATGTAGATTCTGCCGTAGACACTCTTGTCCACGAGCACGTTGAGATGG